TCAAATATATCTTTGAGAAATTTCACCAATATGAATAGTAATTATAATCATTATGCTAACATACTCATTAAATAAGAAGCTGGATTGCAGTCATAAAAATATATTTGCTTTCATATTGTTTCAAACATAGGAATTCAACATTTTGCCCCTCCCAGTTCTTTCTTAGAGACCCAGATATTTTGTATGAGACAGTTCCCTTTTATCAAAACAGTATCTGTTACTTCATGAATATAAAAAACTTTCCAGAAATATTTACCATTTTAGCTAAGGACACATGGCAAAGATATATGATTCTATAAAAGATCAGTATCATGCCATGGCTTCATCATTTGCATCACCTGGGCAAAAAGAAACACACAGTTTTCCTGCAGGTGAGCAATTTTGTTATCTGACTGCTCCTGCATTTCTTTCTTCAATCAGGAAACAGGTGCAGAAAACCTCCCCAAAAGACATACTGAATTCAGTTTCAATTTCTTTGACAGAACTCATATTTATTTGCTGTTAAATCTCTCATAATTAAACTGTTGAGTCCTGGCAGATAAAAGATCTACTTAAATTAATGGATAGATATCTAATAACTCCTCACCACTCTCTGCACCGCCTTCTTTGTGATGCTGTATGACAGGATGCTTTTGTTCTTTGGTTGTCAGCCACCTAGTTTGTTTTAACTAACAAATAATCAACAATAACTTTGTCCTGGACAATAGTCATTGATCCCAGTTATTCCACTATCTTTTTCTACTTAGCAAGATTTCTCTGAGGCATCCCCCCAACTCCTCCAAATGCAGTGGTACAGTATATATCAGTGGTGGCGAACCTATGGCACACGTGCCAGAGGCGGCACTCAGAGCCCTCTCTGTGGGCATGCCCTGGAAATGGCAACCATCTTCTTCAACCAGCCGCCCGCTAACTTGCCGAGGTCCCATGTGGCCAAATGCATCCCAGCACCCATGCGTTTGGGCACTCAGTCTCTAAAAGGTTCGCCATCACTGGTATATATCCTGTTGCCTGGGGAAAGCAACCTTTTCTTTTCCATTGCCAACCTACAGAATGTAACCTTCTTACTTGCACTTTTATACAGTGGATGATTTATGGCAAAGCCCTCTGACAATGGAAGATCTGATCTGCTACAGCTTTCAGGTTGCTCGTGGAATGGAGTTTCTAGCCTCTAGAAAGGTAAGTGATCTATCTGTCTGTCTGCCCATCCATCCATCTCAATATGTTTCTTCTCTTAGTAATTATGATTGGGGAGAAATATCAATAATCCACAGAATGATGCAGGATGAAAACAAATATAGAGAAGCTATGGAAAAAGATAGGGAAAGCAGAGGATTCCACTGTCTGTGGAAGAAAATCTGTTTTTCTTATGGTGTGAGAGCAGGAATGAAGCAAAAGTAGGATGCGGATTTTGACAAAAGGCCTGACTATGGGTTGAACCATCTGTTCAACCAATACTGATTTATAGATTGGGTAGGAGTTATCCAATAAAGGAGAGACACTGTTTTCTCACCAACTGTACAGATCACATGTAGGGCCTGATAGCAATAGCAATAGCATTTAGACTTATATACTGTACCACATTGCTTTACAGACTGAGCGGTTTACCACATCAGCATATTGCCCCTAACAATCTTCTCATTTTACTGACCTTAGGAGGATGGTGTCAACCTTGAGCCAGTCAGGATACACAAAATGAAGTGAGAGAACCTGACCAGTAAATTGCAGTCAACATTGCTCCCCCTTCTGAACTAACTTTCAGTTGGGAAATACATTTTTAGACATGACTACTCACCAGACAGCTTGACCAATGAAACCCATCCATGTGAGGTTTCAGGACATTTTTCTGTGAGTCTGTTGGTTCACATGGTGGAGCATTGATGCCTAAAGCAAGGAGCAGCCAACACTGCTCTCCCATAGAAATAGTCAGTTGGGCACTTTTTATCACTTGTCCAGCTGTTTTCTAGAATGTATAAGTAGCAGTGGGAAACGCAGCATCCTTGAAATGCACAGCTGGCTGGCTGGCTGCTACACCCTTGAACAGGAGTACTTCATGCTGCAGTTGTATTATAAGTCCCACCTGTGCCACTTCGTTTCAGTTGCTCAGTCGGGCAGAGACAGCGTAAAGCTATTAAGAGCAAGGCTTACTTATGTTTGATTATGCAGTTCTGGAAGCACCTGCCATTCTACCCTGAGATGCAAGATACTGGACCAGATTGCCTTTGATCTGATCCAGAACAGCATTTCTTACTTTTTTTCTTACAATCATATCTATGGTTTTGCAAATAAATGAAAGAGAACATAAGATGTTCAGTACTTCCTGGAAATGATTACTTCTTCTTTTACTAGTATATTTCATTGAGAGTAGAGACCTGAAAGAGATTTAAATGTTTTCCTTTTTTCAGTTTTTCTGTCCTTTTCCTTTTGTATTAAAATTTAATTTATTTTGGATTTCTCCCTGCTCCCTTTTCCGTTTTCCTGTAGTGTATCCATAGAGACTTAGCAGCTCGGAACATCTTGTTGTCAGAGAACAATGTGGTGAAGATTTGTGACTTTGGTCTGGCTCGAGATATCTACAAGGACCCTGACTATGTCAGGAAGGGCAGTGTGAGTTCTGGGTTGTACTTGGGATAAAAAGGAACTGGTTTCAGAAGTTAGTTGCTAGTCAGTATCTTTCAGTGTTATTGTATGAAAATCAATATAGCTGTGTTAAACACAAGAGGGGAAAAATCCAAAATTTATAGTGGAATGAGTACTATTGTGTAGATAGTTAATTAGACCAATGAAGATATTGCCTCTATGGATGTTGGATTTATTTTATTTACCATGACCTTTGGGCATCCCAATGCAGAGGAAATGTTTGTCCCAAGAACGATACCTAAAGGAATGAGGCAGACAAATGTTTTATCTAGTGCAGGGGTCTTCAAACTTGGCCCTTTTATGACTTGTGGACTTCAACTCCCAGAATTCCTTAGCCAGCGTTGAAGACCCCTGATCTAGTGTAACTTCTTGATATAAACTAAGTATTTGATTCAGTGTACAAGATGGAAAATATATGCCTGCTTGGAAGAATCTGTAGCCCTCATGGGTATTTCTGAGCTGCCGTCCCACAATTCCTGGCCATTGTCAATTCACATCAGTTTGGGGCTGATGTGAATTGGAAGTCAACATCAACTGGAAGCCACTTGCTTCCCACCACTAATAGACTCCATAGCCTTTAGCAGGGCTTGAATGCAATCTGGGAGTCAAGCATGGTCTCCATTTGTCAATAAAGACCTCTTGATACAACTTTTTAAAAAAACTTACAAAGTAGAAGTATGACTTTTTTTCTTGCAAACTCATAGTTTACAAAACTGCTTGGAGGGAACAAGTAAATAACATTTAAACGTCATCTTGAAATACTTCTGGGTTTTTTAATTTTTGTTTTGTAATCGGTACTGTTTGAATTTAAATGTGAGCCAAATTTTCCTTGTTCTGGAACTCACAGCAAATGCAGCTATAGTATCTAGGCAGATCAGATTATACCAGATTGCAACTTCCTGTTATTTGAAAATGAAAATGTCTTATTTATCATATTTTCTGTCCATCTTCAAACACTATTATAGAATCTCTGGAGACTTTCCTGTGTTTTTTTTAAAAAAATATATTGTTTTTCTTGCACTGTAGCATATAACGTACCTTGCTATCGCTGTCCTGTAGGCCCGTCTTCCACTCAAGTGGATGGCTCCAGAAAGCATCTTTGACAAAGTTTACACTACTCAGAGTGACGTCTGGTCCTTTGGAGTCCTCTTGTGGGAGATCTTCTCTTTAGGTAAGTATTAAATATTTGGACTCTTCGTGGTATTAGCTATGGTTTTTATGAGCATATAGTTCTAAAAGTAGACTGCAAGACTCCCCATATTTGGGGGGGGGGGTTTCCACCACCTGTATTTCCCACAGTTAAGTGATCAATTGCAAAAATCATCTGCCAGTTTACTTGCTTCATAACTGCAAATATGACTGGATGGTGCATATGTCAATGATCTGCAATCTCAAAAATAATAAGCCAGGTTTTAATAATGGTCCAGCTATAATTAAAATGGCAACCTGATTTTAACTGATCTCAAAAATCTAAGCAGAGTCAGTGTTTGGATGAGAGACCAGCAAGAGGTACCCAGCACTATAAGCTAGATTTTGAAATTAAAAAACATCGTGGAAGACAGGGACAGCCATTTTTATCTTCTTGCTAAGGAAATTACATGGATAATCCATAAAGTCATTAGGAGTCAAACTTAGTTTGAAGTGCACTTTACTTTTAATTCTGAGAATGTTTGTAACGTTCCCATATCATGCCAATTTTAGAAATTAAGGCTTGAAAATGTCTTGAGTAGTTATTGAACAACCGCAAACAAATCTTGTGATTCTGACTCTTTTCATAGAGGATGTTTCAGCTTGTTTAATGGCTTCTGAGTAGCTGCAAAACGATCATTGTGAAATAAGTTCCATTACAGAACTAATTTAAAAAATGCCTGTATTTTACTGTACTGCATTGTATCAAAAGAGTAGATAGGTACAGCTGCAAGAATCCATCTATTATTTTTTTTCTTCCTCTTTCTCTTTATACCACTGCATCTTCATCAGGAGCCTCCCCTTACCCTGGAGTACAAATCAATGAGGAATTTTGCCAAAGACTAAAAGATGGCACCAGGATGAGAGCTCCAGAATATGCTACTGCAGAAATGTGAGTCAAAGTACTTCAATATATAGCCAACAATGAAGATACTAAATCAACAAATTATAGATCTGCAGGAGGTTTCAGAGCTTCTTGTATGGGAGACTGAGGTGAATTATAGTCTAACTGCTTACGTCTCTTTTGTAGTAACACAAATGGTCTCAAGTATAGCATCCAGCTTAAAGTTGGGTTTTTCCTTTACAGAGCTTTTCCATTTCATCTGTACCTCATTAACCCTATGCAAAAATTGATTCTTTGCAGTTACAGAATAATGCTGAATTGTTGGTATGGAGATCCCAAAGAAAGGCCAACATTCTCTGATTTGGTTGAGATCCTGGGAGATCTTCTTCAAGAGAATGTTCAGCAGGTCAGTTTCCAATTATTATCAGAACACAAAGGCAAGCTGAAGTAGTCAGCAATATCTGGAAAGAGTTTATTATTATGGTTTTGTCGCACAGTCAGCCAGATGTTCAGAATGAATTTGGCATTTTTCTCCATCTATTAAGTCCTTCTCAGGGACCTGGGATGATCCTATGTTGATGTTTAATGGTATCAAAGGTGTCATTGCAGGATGTAAGTTGTTCCAAGTAATTCTGCCTTTTGCAATTGACTTGTGGTATTTTATCAATGCTGATGGTATTCAAGTGGTGCTCCAGTTGTTTTGGGATTGCACCCGAGGCACCTATTACTATTGGCACTACCTTTGTTTTCTTTTGCCACAATCATTCTGTTTCTATTTGCAGGTCTTTATATTTTGTTAATTTTCTCCAGTTCTTTTTCTTCCATTCTGCAGTTCCAAGTACTGCCCCATCCACTATCAAGAGTTTTTTTAAATCTTTCTTATCAACAATTAAGTCTGGGATATTATATCGCAGGTGCCTATCTACTTGAATTCTAAAGTCTCAAGAGCTCTTCAGCGTCTTCATTTTCTATTACTTTTCCTATTTTTTGGTCTTGCCTGTTCTTGCTTGCAGGCAGATGTTATTATTACTGAGTAAACATACATATCTAGTGTGATCTGGCATTTATGCTGGTTATTAGTTTGTGAGAATGACACACATTTTATTTTTATTTATCATATTTAGAGACCTACCATGTTCAAGCGACTCTATGTCTTTACATAATATGTAGCATATCTTTCAATGCAATGTTATAGTGCTCAATTAAATGTCATTGGACAGACACGTAATGTTTTCATAGTCCTTATATTAAAAAAAAGCTAGAAGCAAAAACTGTTTAATATATTGCTTCAACCTATGCAAAATCATCAATTTGGAAGAAACCACTTTATGCTCCAGCCCAGGGGTAGTCAACCTTGGCTCTTTTATGACTCGTGGATTTCAACTCCCAGAATTCCTGAGCCAGCTGTGCTGGCTCAGGAATTCTGGGAGTTGAAGTCCACGAGTCATAAAAGAGCCAAGGTTGTCTACCCCTGCTCCAGCCATTCTGGTATAGAACCTTCTTTGCTCTGACCCTTTTAACAAATGCAGCTTATCATATCCCACAAATATCCTATTCAGTCTAGACTGCTGTGTGCCATAGGCAGACCTGAGGTAGAAATACGTACTTTACATTGATACATATACAGTATATGTATTTAAAATACATATATTTTAAAATGATTTGTGCAAAGTAGGCAAGCACAAAGTGAAAAATTAACTTGTGGTATTACTAGGTTGATTCCTTCCATGCTAAGAAAGTCAGAAAACAATTAGACCTTGTATTAGTAAATTGTGTGCAAGAATATCATGACCAGAAATGCACTAACTATATCTTGGCTACGCTCAATATTTAGTTTTGGATTATAGTAGTTTATTATATACTGCAAAACATGCAACTGGAAGCAGACAGAGGATAAGAATTGCATTAGGCTGTATTTGGCATCAGAAATGTTGAATAATGCTACAGTAATGCTATTTTGAAGCCTCTGAAACTTTCTAGACAGTTTTCTGTTTTTATAAACCAATCCAAGTTATTAGTATTATTTTTGATATTGTTAAAGTATTCTAGATTCCTATCCATGGATCCATGGATGACAAGATTTCTGAATAGGTTCAATTGTATAATTTATAATTTTATTATTTTAATCTACCGTATTTACATTCTGGCTGAGCTACTTACATGGATACTGCGATTTGGAAATGGTTTTAAAAGACTGCCTACTATTTGTAGGGGTTTTTTCCCCACTCCCCTCTTTATGTACTCACATTATTTATTTGCATCGGATCGTGCAGTATGTTTTTTAGTGATAACCCCCTGGACTTACAAGTCACAGATTTTGTGACCCTGTTTTTGATATTCTCCCCATGTTCCCATCCCACCCCAGATGCTATATGTCATCAAACTGGGTGGCTTATTTATATCACAAAAGAATTTACATGCTTTCTCTCTCTATTGTGATTTTACCAGCCTTCCCAACTGATAGATGATATTTTATATAAATTTTATTAAACGTTTTAAAGCGAAAATAAAAGCTAACAAAAAGTAATATAATAAAGAATAAAGAAAACAAAGAAGAAAAGAGAAAGACAAACACTCAAAAAGAAAAGGTAAAATGAAATAGAAAGAAGCTTCTGATTTTCTTTGCAGCAAATACAAGTATGATTACAAAATTATCTCTTACTCTATGGTTATAAAAAAAACCTCACTTTTTTCTATTATCTAAACTTTTTTCTAATCATCAAAATTACAAGTCATATTTTCTGTTTCATACAATAATCTATAAGGGGCTTCCAATCAGTCATAAATGTGTATGTTGTCTTTTCTTTAATCAATGAGGTTGATTTAGCCATCTCTGCAAATTCCATCATCTTCACCAATCATTCTTTTGTTGTTGGTATACTGAGGCTTTCCACTTTTGAGCATATAATAATCTCACTGAAGTTGTCATATATAAAAGCCTAGTTCTGTGTCTTTTTTTCTAGCTGTCTTCTATGAGTCCCAAAAGAAAAGCCACTGGTTTTAATTGTATATTAGTCTTTAAAATCTTCTGAATTAGTGTACGCAGGGCTTTTTTTCTCATAGAACGCCCAGAACGGAGTTCCAGCACCTTTTTTGGATGGAACCTTGTAGGGTAGGCAAGGCGGATTGTATGACGTGTGTGAGTTCTGGCATCTTTTTCTTTTAGAAAAAAAGCACTGAGTGTATGCATTTGTATCATTTTGGGGGGGGGGGGACTTTTTTATATATCCAACCGACATAATAAAATTTCCTTGCATGTTGCTCACATTTCCAAGATAAATTTGAGTATCTTTGCACATTCTAAAAAAATTCTCTGGTGAAAACTATCAATGATGCCTCATTTTATACAAATTCTCTTTAAGACTAAAACACACTATGAATTTCAATCCTTTCAACCACATATTTCACATTGGTCCATTTGAATATTATAATCAAAAAAATTATTTATAAATTTTATCATACTTCCTTTCACGTGTTCTGTCTTTCGGCAAAAGTTTGTACATTTTAGCAATAACATATTCTTCATTAGTACCTAATTTCTGTTTCAAACTCCAGCTTCTATTGTTCAAAACTATAAAATCTTTTATTCACTTTAAACCTTTTTGATATCTGTACATAGGAAAACTATTGACAAATACGTTTTTTCATTATAAACTCTTCTCTTGATTTTATTTTACATTCCCCTTGAGAAAATTCTAAAATACCGGTATTACAGTGAGTTAAACATTTATGTTTTTTATAGTTTCTTGATTACAAAATGCTTTTTGTATTGAGAGTTACAAAGATATTTTGGAGCACAACCTAAATTTGTATTTATTCCGTTTTCTCAAAATGGCATATGTAACGTAATAATTCTTAAAATCTACATTATCCTTAGCTTTGTCATTTCATAGTTATCCATTCCACCCAAAACTCAGCTCCTAACTTCAATAGCTACTATTTCTCAGCAGCACAATTTGACTCTATAATTTTAAATCTGGTAGACCCAATCCTCCTATTTCCTTTCCACCTTGAAATACCTTATTTGGGGGGGGGGGTCCCTACTGCCATACAATTTTAGATACGTACTTCTGCCATTGTTTAAATGAAACATCAGTTGTCAAAACAGATACTGTCTGAAATAAAAATAACAGGTTAAATCAACTTAAGGCAGGTTAAATCTGTATTGTGCTGTCCATGAAATGTAAATCAATTTCATTCGTTCTGTAAAATTCTCTCCAAAATTCATATTTTTTTAAAAAAATAAGTAAACAAAAAGCCCAGTTCAAATTATCCTAAGCCTTCTCTGCATCTAAAAAGATCAGTGCAGCATGTTTTTGGTATCTTGTTCCAAATATTCCAAAATATCCAGTACAGTTCTTACTTTATCCTTTAACTGTCTTTTAAGTAAAAAAACCACATTGGTCCTCATGAATAAATTCTTGCAAAATTATTTTCGATCTGTCAACTAAAATCATTATCAACAATTTTAGTTGTTCCATCAGCAGTTAATAAAATGTTAGGATGGAATGCCTTAGTTTCAAATGTTACAAAGCTTAAAACTAGAAATTGATATACATTATATGTTCTAGTCTTGCTTTTTTAGGTATTTTATATTATGGCCCCTCCTAGAAATGAAATTCCAAGGAATTGATAACAAATTATGCAAATAGTTAAATTTTAAAAGCTAATGTGTTTTATCATTTTTCTGAGATAAATTATTGTTTAACTTACTTTCCTCAGAAAATTCTTCTGTCTGTTATATTTCACAGAAGCATAAGCAACTCTTTCCTTCTTTAGAAGTTCTTCAACTATGTCTTATTAAAGATACAAAGAGGACACCAAAATTGTATTTATATCCATTATTGTGCTTTCTGTTTGTAAAATCTTCTATCCTCATTGCTCATAAACATTTATCTGGATTCTATTAGGAGGGGAAAGACTATATCCCATTAAATGACTCTCAGAGTTCTGAAGATGATGGCTTCTCCCAGGTGGCTTCCTCCATCCAGCAGAATTCTGATGAAGAAGAATTTGACATGAAAATACACTGTCACAATGTAGCAGCAAGGTAAGTAAATTGGTACTGGTTTTTGAAAAACATGACAGAAATCAGAAGTAGCCAAAAGTCAGCCAACATTTGAACAAAGATTTTAGAAGGATCATGTGTCTCTCTCATACCATTAAAACTTTCCTCACTACTACCAATCACATCTAAAACATTTCCAAGGACACTTCTTAATTTTGTTTATTTAAAATCCACCCCACAATTACTTGGGTTATGTATATGTAGAGGGGTGCTTTCGTAACAAGTCAACAGTTATCATGTCCTACTTCCTGTGGGACAGTGAATATTTTCCCTGTATTAGTAAAGATGGCTACCTCAAGCACTAAGAAGGAAATTGCCAACTGAAAGTACAAAGTGACAAGAATCATGACCCAGAAAAAGAAATTCACTATTTCCAATCAAAGGATTATATGTTCCCAATGCCAAGAGATTAATTTTCTGTGCTGTTAGTTAGATTAACAAGAGACAGCTGAGGTGCTGAAAAGATGTATGAAAGTGTCCTAATATAAGGAAGGGGATCATGACAAGTAAAATAATCCTTTGCATGCCAAAAGTATGACATAAAATCCTTGGCATCTCTATCCAATAATAGATGGCAATTGACTGAAATATCTTTTATCTGTACAATTACATATAGATAATTCAGTATTAGATGGACAAATAGTACGAGTTGGCATACTAATTCATATATTCCTATATTTTAAAATGAAAAGCAGCCTTGGAGGCTACAATCAAAATGGAAGAGTAGCTAGGGGAGGAGGGAGGTTTTAAAACTTCTCTGCCATTCATTTTTCTGCTCAAAATGTTTTGCTCTTCTCCTGGTAAGCTGGGAAGTTTAAACACTGATTCTTCCATGCTGATCTTCCTTTCTTGATCCTAAGCACATTAAGATTGTATACTTCATAAAAAGGGGGTTGCTGCAAACATAATTATGTGATGTACATCAACATCTTGTAACCTGAAGAAAGAATTCTTTCAGCCCAAGCTGATAATTTGCTGCAGAGTTAGTATCTGTAATTAACTGTTCGATTCAAAGAAAGAACATAAAATGAAGGCTACCATAGCTGAACTCTAAATCTTTTTCTGATTTTCCTCTCCTAGATATTATAATTGTGTGTCTTTCCCTGGCTGTTTGACTGGCGGGAATCAAATAAGATGTCCATCCAGATTAAAGACTTTTGAAGAATTTCCTATGACACAAACTATGTACAAAGCACATCCGGTGAGTAGATAGTTTTAAAAGTAAGAAAAGGAAATGCAAGAGCCATTTAGTTTGTACTTATTTTTCTGCAAAAGTAAAGATGTCTTCAAATTGAGTGACTCCTTTTGACTACATAGAAATATTCAACAATATAAAACAATATCCTTGATGGCTTTAGGCTCAGATACTTATGGAACCATCTCTTCCCCAACTGTTTCTACCCATCCCATCTGGTCCAATAGATGAGGCATGCTCCACGTGCCATCAACAATGGAATGTCAGTTGGTAGCGTTTCAGAGGATGTCCTTTTCTGCCGTGGTCCTGCCTGTGATACCTTATTACACCTGAGATTATGTTACTCCACCACCACCACCACCACGTTGGACTTTCACAAGGCCCTAAAAACTGAATTGTGATAGATCCCCGTTTCCTGGATTTGTTGACAATTATTTTATGAAGCTCAGTTGCTATATGTTTTAATTTTACATTATGAATTTTATTTATCTATTTTATGCAGTCACATATGTGAAATGGGCAGCTATACAAATCAAATCAATAAATAAATTAGCTTGCTATTGCATTCTTCCTGGCCTTGATGTTTCAACTTCCCAATTTACTCCTGGGATATCCCATCCTAATACAACCAAGATCAAACTCTGCTTAGCTTTCTCTAAATCAGTCAAGATCAGTTAGGTGCTGCCATCTGCTGTGACAGATATTTGTACAGCAGTCTAAAGATTTATTCAAATGATATATGTGCACGTTTCATTTTCTGCCATAAGGCAATATTCAAATAAATTGCAACTAGCTTGTCTGGGTAGCCAAGACGCTTTCTAAATAAAGAAGAGATGCATTAACCAGGCTCATTATATTCAACTAGACACAATTGCACTTTTGGGATTTTAAAAAAGTTAACTTTTGGTCAGAAAGCGTGGAACATATGATTTCAGGACCCACATCTTCCAGGATGCCTTTCTGGTTTGTGAGTAGCATGGTAACGTTATCCCAGTAGTCTCTTCCCTCAGTAGACAGCACAGTTGAAAATGGGGATGGAAACGTATATAACTCTTCTCCATTTGTTTGTTCTTTTGCTTGCGTTCTGTATTTATTGTTTTTACAAATAATTCAAGAAGCAAACATATTCAACATACTCTCCTCCTCTTCCTATTTTCCCCACTACAACAACCCTGTGAGGTGGGTTGGGCTGGGCCCAAGTCATCCAGCCAATTTTCATGGCTAAAGTGGGAGTTGAAATCATGGTCTAACGCTTTCTAGCCTGTTGCCTTAACCTCTAGACCCGAAGTAGGGAATGATGGCCCTTTTATGACTTGTGGACTTTACCCACTTCTGTTCTAGACCAAACTGATTTGATAGCTATTTGGTTGGGAGAATAATCTACATGCAGAGGATGATGCACAAGAGTCCATCTTCACCATTTCCATTCTACACATGCTCCTCTGGCACCACAAAATTATCTAAGTGCATTGGGAGTGGTGGAAATTGCAAAATGTTTGGATGTGTCTTGTCTGTCAGTGACAATGCATATGCAGGGATATGTCTATATATGAATGTGGGGTGTGTGTGTGTGTGTGTACATGTGCATATGTGTATGTGTGCATGTGTGTTCACCTACTTGCAAAAAACCCTCAGACAATGAGGTTTCTCACCGATTTGTAATCCCAAAGCTGCAAAAAATGGTTCCTTTTAGACAGAGAATTAAAAAAAAAAACCTGGGAAGGTTCACATTTTTTCCCCCTGCAGGCTTAGCCAAGACAATGTGAATAGAGGAATGATAGGGCATTTTCATAAGGTAGAGTCACAGCTATGAAAGGTACTTATTCCTTCCAGTGCCTATAATTTCTGCCCTGTAATGTGTTGCCACCTTTCATAGAATACTTACAAAAAATAAATTTGGAGGAAATATCAATAGATAATGGAAGAATTAAGCTTCTGCTCCTGTTCATCAGCATTAAGTGTGTGATACAATCCCCAATGATGAAAAAATGATGCTACATGCATCACAAGTTTACAGTACACTTTTCATCATTTGCTCTTCCCAAGTATTCATCAATGTCCATCAGCAATTATTCCACCAAGTAATAGCAAGTCATTTTGCCATTTCTGCAGTTTGGAAACATATACAGAGACCAATGTGGGCATCTCTAGGGGTAAATGGTTTTTCTCCTAGATTTGGGAGGCTCTGCACTTTTTCTGATTTTTTAAAAAACAAAATTATTCCATCTATAAAGTCTGCATTGAAATCTGTGCCCTTTGCATATGTACAAATATGATAAGTTATATATTGGCAATGATTTTCCCAGTGTATAACATTTCCCTAATATGCTTTAAAAAAAAAAAAGAGAACTGCATTAGCAGATGTGCAAAAGTGCAAAAAGAAACAGATAATTGCATACTGTATGTGGTGTATGCATTTAACAATTGCTTCTACTTTTTACAGGATAATCAGACAGACAGTGGGATGGTTTTGGCGTCAGAGGAGTTTGAAAGGATAGAAAACAGACACAGAAAAGAAGGTGCATTCAGGTACTTCATTATCTTGCTCTCCCAATTGATTTTCTCTCTCTTCTCGGTAATCCAAAATGCCCGATGGTGCTTTCTGCCAGTGGACTAGGAGACCCAAAATATATGTTCTCCTGAAAACTGGTGCTTGTGGCACCATTGCTAAAGGTGCACTTAAAGCAAACTTGTGATTGAATGGAGTGGTTTTTGAAAAGAGCTACAGTATTTGAATTCTGCAAAGAAAACGAAGACATGGTGAATACTGCTTAAAGGCAACACAGATGGCATTGCTATTCCTGGGGAAATGGAACATGTTTTCAGTGCTCGGAATAAAACTGCAGGGAAAAGGATGGACTTTTCCTGGGTAATAGCACCTTTGCTATACTTTGTGCAGTGTGGTTGTATGTATATAACAAACCGATTAGATAGTGGCTATGACTACTGCACTGAAATCCTTGGGTGTGACAGCACAAGGCAGAGCTTTCTCAAGGTAGTTCCCATCCCGTGGAACAATCTTTCATATCCTGAACTGCTTGTAATCTGCCAAGGCACCATTCTTTCACACGGCCCTTGAAAACTCGAATTGTTTTGATTAGAGGGGGTTGATTTTATTTATATTAGGAGATATTAGAGTTTTGTTTTCAGTTGTGATTTTGTTTTGCAAAGCACATATAGTCAGAATATGTGTGTGTAGAGAAAGAACTTTATACACACACACAAACATAATACACGCACACATATTTACATTATCTGCATATAGATATTCTTTGGACTCAATATTTTCAGTAGAAATAATTGAAGTAGTATTCCTTTGAAATAAATTTTAAAGATGCTTAATTTGACCAAGTCAATAATAACAATAATAGAATATATTTGCAGGATAAGTGCTCTCCTTTCTCAGGAATATAGAAAAACCTCATCCTGGCAAAAAAAAAGATCAAATCTTTTTATTTCATCTGCAGTCAGGCTCTTTATCAATACAAAAAACTTATCCAAGGGCAAGAAATCAGGGTTAATACTGATGGAACACTATGGAGACACTGACTTATTTATGAACCGAATGGGCTTAGAAGCTCCCTGGCCTGTGGTTTGAGGGACACAGTTCAGAGGGGATATTTAAAAATTGACAAGAGTTTGCACAAACTCATTCAGCAGAAATGAAATTAGGCATCTTTGCTTTTGCCATTCCCTACTGCTGTGCAAAATCCTTTTGATTTCTCCCGCTTACCCACTTCCTTTCCACTAGTCAGTTCTGATGCTTTAAGCAGAAAAGGTCTAGAAGTGGAGGAACATGAGAATCAAAGAAAGAAACTAATCTCAGAACACGATGCCATTTTACACAACAAGCAGAGGCATGATTTTTAAATGGAATGATCCTGTTCTGGGTTTGGATCAAAGCCATGCTGGATGCTGGAAGTCAATATCCACTGGTCTATCTGGTGATGACTATGGCACATGAAAAAAACTGTAAGTTGGGAGGGAGGAAGGGAGGAAGGAAAGAAAATTATATATTTACGGCACTAAGAAAATAGTGAAGTATTTGAATAAACTAGTCTATCCTGTAGAATGAAGTTGATAAAGACATATAAGATGTGATTTCTTGGGGAAAAAATGGCAAACTGAAGAGCTCCATTAAAAGCAGAGCCGATGAGAGCAGTAGAATGAAAAGCCAACAAGTAGACCGGCTCTACTTTGTTGTTGTAGAAATGGCTAGTTTATATTATTACGTAAAAGTAAGAAGTTGAAGTTTGATGTTATTATCTTATTCTACTGCATCAAAGGGAGTCGGGAGTCAATGCCTTTTCTTTTTCCCTTTACCCCACACTTTTCACTTCCTTTTTTCCTCCCCTATTTTCCTACTATTTTCTTTTGTACTTTTGTATTATATATTATAAACTAATAAAAAAGAACAATTAAAAAAATATTGGAGAAGAAGCAGACACTTAAAATTAACTTCTGGATCCATTGTTCAAAAATATCCTTCAAAATATCTAATATTAAAATTGACTTACTGATACAGAATGAAGCAAAATATTTTAATATTAGATATTTTGAAGGATATTTTTGAACAATGGATCTAGCAATTAATTTTAAGAGTGTCTACTTCTTTGAATAATACTCTATTTAAAAGAAAGTATGAAGGAGAAACAAGTTTAACCTGACAAGATTGAACCTGATTTAAAATAGAATTTTAAAATGATATGGAAAAAGATGCTACACTGAACATACAAACTACACTGGCTGATGTCTTAATACTTAGAGTAAAAGGGATACACTAAAAACAAACCAAGAGTGACCTTGATAATTTTATTATATTGGATTTATAATAATTGTTAATGCTTTGAAGAATTTTATAAGAAGAGACAAAGGAAAAAAAGGAAAGAAATCAAATTCTAAGATATTATTTGAAGAGATTACAGATCAAAATTGTTAAAACTAAAACAAAGCAATATAACGTTTATTTGATCATAGTAAAACTACATAATTTTTCATTACCAACCAACTTATTGAATTTTTGCTGATCAGGACTGAAATGATGAGGCTTTTGGGATGTATTTATAGATAAGAGATGGGATATGGGAAGAAGAGATCATTGATTTTAATAATAATAATAATAATGATAAAGTTGGAAGGGACCTCAGAGGTCATCTAGTCCAACCTCCTGCTCAGGCAGGAAACCCTATACCATTTCGGACAAATGGCTGTCCAGTTTCTTCTTTAAAACTTCCAGTGTTGGCGCATTCACCGCTTCTGGAGGCAGGTTGTTCCACTGGTTAATTGTTCTAACTGTCAGGAAGTTTCTCCTTAGTTCTAGGTTGCTTCTCTCCTTGATTAGTTTTCATCCGTTGCTTCTTGTCCTGCCTTCAGGCGCTTTGGAGAATAGTCTGACTCCCTCTTCTTTGTGGCATTACTAAAATTGTTTAGACAGTATTTATTGTGATACAGAAAAACTGATGGGCTATTTATGAATAGAATAGTGATTCTTTGATGAGTATCTGCTTAGGAAAAAAGTCTGTTTGGAATGTGTGGCTTAAGTATAAGTCTGTTCATATGTAGAGATGGCAAGATAATATAAATCTAAGGTTAAGATTTGATTTATTGACAAAATATGTTTATGATGAAAATTTGAGAGAATTAGTGAATGATACCAGGCTGATAAGAGCTGGTAAGAATGTAAATAGGCTGATAAGAGCTTGTAAGAATGTACTGTAGATAGGCCTTTTTTTTTTTTTGGAATGTCAAGAGTGGATCTTGGGAAAAGGAATAAAATTAAACAAGTAGAAAGTAGATTGACTGTAGGAAGGTGAAGATATGAGTCTTATATCAAAATACCAGAAACTGCATTAATCTCCCAACAGTGAATAGTGGATGTTAGGGCCATGGGTGTGGAAGCTTCCCAGAACAGAAATTTGTTTTTGTTTTTTCATTTAAAAGATTTGTATGGCTGTCCATCTTAAACATAACTTTGGGTGGCTAACAATAAAACCAGTAATAAAATCATAAACCATAAAATAAAATCCTGAAAAGAATTACATTACAGAATGCCACAGAAGTGCATGGAGTTATGATAATGGGAAGTGTGCAGAAGGCAATTTGGTGAAACCGGTTGCAGCTAAAAAAGCATGCATATAAAAGTATTAGTACTACAAAAAAATAAGGTTGAAAGGTATGTATAACATGGAAAGATTATTGCACAGATGTAGTAAAAAGAAAGAGAGAAAATGCCGAGTAATTTCGATAGAATGAATGAAAAAGGCTAAACAAGAATGAAAAAGGCTAAACAAGAAGACCTAGCAGGATACATGGAGTTAGAGATAAAAGTTATGGCATGTTTTTGGAAATGATTTTGATTTGTTGAAGAGTGGAACTTAAACAAATGCTATAAATGTTATCCTCCCAAAAAAATGATGAAAAGGTAGTCATAAAAGCTGTCAGAATATTGCTTAAGGCTGTAGCTGACATTGATGTAACTGGAAAAATTTTCAAGTATAGATTTGGCTTGTTATGGCATGGCTTTGGGAAGATCTTTATAACCTTTGTACTATGTAACCTCCTTTTTTTCTTACCTAAATGTATACATCTTCCAGACCAACCCATCTGCAAAATGGTTTGTTCTTGTTTTGACCTTTCTGTTGCTCAGAAGCTTTTTGAGGAAGCTTAAGTTAGAATATGTCTTTGTTGGAACTAATTTTCTGGCCTTTTTTCTCCAACAGTAGTAAAGGATCCAATCCAAACGCAGACCCAACAGTGGATCAATCCAAACCAAGGGGCAGAGGTCGGCCATTGTATCAATCAGAGCTCCGGGGTCAGACTTTTTATAATAGTGAATACGGGGAACTATCGGAACAATCTGAGGAAGGCAGCTGCACTCCACCAACTGAAGGCACCAGCCCCTCCCTCCTTCATGCTTCATTCTTTTCAGACCAATGCTAAAGGGGAAGACAGTCATGGAGACACCTTGCTGAGAGATTCAATTTCTTCTCTTTCTGTACCAGTATACCCTTCAGTGAAGAATACATATTTTTGTCCTAGAAGAAACCACAAGGGTGATTCCTGTGGAACAGATGGAGAACTCCTTGGTTAGGAAGATGGATGCTGTGCCTTTCAAACTAAACACTAGTCTTGCCTTTGACATGAATGAAAATCCTTGCTCCGATGATCTTTTAAGGAAGAGATCTCAGATGCAGTTCTATGGGATCAGTTTTGAGAGCTTCAATCACTGCTTAGTATTCAGCCTCCATTGAAATAGTTTGCCATAACGAGCTTTATTTCAGGTCAGATAGAAATAGATGTGTCTTACCTGAACATTTTTCCTGATATGCAGTTTTGTTTGTTTCTGCTCTTGTTTTTCCCTCTATTAGGAGAGATGGAATAAAGAACCATTAAATTAATGTAGGCAATGGTGAAGCAGCAACACCCACAAATTTGGATAATCCTTCACAATGTAGACATTCCTATAAACAACTCAAGGTGTAACTATATTTAAGTCTTACATAGACTTATTTCATTTATATTAGACACCAAGGTAGTCCCCCAGCTTGAATATTTTCCATACTTTCACTGTTTTAGACATGTGGAAACTGCTACAACGCCAAAGGGAAATATTTCATTTATGTGTGTGTCTTAGGAAATTCGGTAATTTAAGGGAATTTTATTTTCGTTAATTAGTTTCACATACTGCAAGAAACTATAGTTTGTTTAACCATTATTTATTGAATAAAATACAATTGTCTGAGTTTACATAACATTTGAGGCCTGATGTGAATTATACCACTTTCACTGAGAAACAGAAATTGCATAACCGATAAGAGATTATGTCTAAAAATAGAAAATGACATTTTAAAGATTCACAATCCATTTATGTGTCCAAATCTGAATCTTTTAAAGTATTCTGTACTGGATCTTTATCATCTAAACATCTGCCTTTCTGGGTTTGATGCTTTTGCTTTCTTTAATTGTAACTTCTGTTAAGGAATCAGAAAATTAATATAAACTATGATCCTACCGAAAAGTTGGTATTGTCCTTGTAAAATCTATATACTACTTAAGAACAAGAGATATAGTTCTTGGTTAAGATAATAGGGAAAAATATGGCAGCACTCAGCAGGAGTCTGACAAACTTGTAATTCTCTCCTCCTTTGTCATTTGTAGGTTTTCTTTCCTATTTCTATTCATTTATGTATGCTTTCCAAAATAATATGTCCTATTCCTGACAGAACAATCCAAATTTTACACTCAGAATAAATATTTCAAACATTAATTTATGTAGATTTGTCTAATTTGCATTATTTATTCTGATATTAGAATTTGGGAATATCTGAGCATATGCAAGTGCTTGCCTGCTATCAAAGACACAAACTTTAGCGCTGCTAAATTTCCTATTTTTACTTGGAAGCTGTTGCTTGGACACTTTTGTTTTCACATTTGTTTTTTGTGTTCACATTTGTGGGAACAATGCGGATATATCCAATCTGATATGCTTATTCATGATGCCTTACATAATCTACCAATCTTCCTATCCATGCTCCAGTTCTGAAGGATATTGCTATAAGAAAACATTACAAAAACATTAATGAAAGCATTATAAAATGGGTTTTGATCAGCCTGTATACTTCCTCTTTGAATCATGGACAGTTTTTGCTGCCACTCTTGATAGTGTTTCAACATCAAATAATTTCTGCTTGCAGGTCAGGCTTCTGTTTAAAAAAACTGAATTTTGCTTATTTTATTTTCCATATTGGGCATATTTTTGTAGATAATATATATGTGTGTGTATATATATATCTACTATATATATATGTATCTTCCATAAGGCAGTTTTATGCTTTTACTTCTTTGTAACTGTTTTTCTCCATGTCTTTTCTACATCATTTTGTATTTTGTGCAAGTGCACTCAATGATATATTGTTTATTACATTTCTTATGTATACAAGAATATAATTGTGACCTTAATTATTTCCAGAAGATTTAAAAGGTTGTCATTCTGTACAGAAAGATTGATTTAAACAATACTTTCTGTCAAAGAGTTTATGAAATTTAAAATGTCATATAAGTGATACAGTGGGAAAGACTTCGCTGAAGAAGTGCAGAATTCCTTCCTGTTAGCTGAATTTCCATTGAATTAAACAGCTGACGGCAACACAGAACAGATCCATTTCAAATACTGTAATATCCACATGCAAATAAAGATTCCTATGTTTCCTGTACATAACCTGCAAAAACACTCCCATAATCTGATCTACTCTTGCAGCCAGTAACGGGAAGCAGAAAAATGACATTACAGCTTCTTCATTTAGCTGAATACTAATGTTTCTTCAAAATGTACAAATGAAGGATATTTTGAAATTACTGGGCTAGATGCTTTTTCAGCATTCATTTGTAACTTATATTATTAGCACTATTTCACCTAATTTTAAGGATTAAGTCATTTGAAATTTCAGCTACCCGGTATATTTATTTGAAAATTTCCCACTGTAGAAAATCGCTTTGTGAATGATGTCCCTCAGTTTTAGATATTATGCTCTTTAGACCTCTTTCTATGTAATATTAGACTATTGTTTGTTTTAGAATACAATACTCTGTATATCTGCACACACATATGCACACCAAGAAACAATTCTTTGAGACCCCAAAACATTGCAGAAAATGCTCAATAGCATTCTGAACCCAAGATGTCATGCATGACTGTCAAACTTCATTTTTTTATCTGAGATTTACATTTATTAAAAATGGGGGAAGTTGGTATACTACATTTCCAAAATTAAGTCATGGAACGTGGGCAGCCAGAAAAATTAAGCCTGTAATTAAATTGCCTGATCGATATAAGCTTCTTCAGTAAATAAAAAACAGTAGAGACAGGTCTTTGTCTGGAAGCAAACCTATTGCCCACAAAAAAAAGGTAAGATAATAGTGATATTAAGCAAACATGCCATCTTGCATGATAAGGAAAATTCTGGTAAACTGGGAATTTGTAACCGTTATGTCCCTTATTTCAACCAATTTGTGAACAAAGAAGCAGAGTATACACAACATAATACTTTCAAAGTTCCTTATCTGCTTGCCAACTCCCTACCCAATTGGGGCCCCTTTCCTTGTCTGTGGCACATAGTTAATACAAAATTTGACTTGACCCTCCCTAATTCATTATTCTTCAATTTTGCCTCATTGTGTACTAACAATATGATTATGAACATACCCATTTTGTATATTTAATGAAAAAAGATGACGGATGAGGAGGAAGGAGGAGGAGGTGGTGGTGGTTCACTAGGCTTGTATACTGCTCCAAAAAATCTGACTTTTAAGTAGTTTGCAGACCTCCAATAATAACAAAGTCCAAAATGAATAAAATGACAATACATAGTAGCTCATTAAAACAATTATAAAAATGAAAGTATGCAGAGATTACCAAAAGTAGAAATCATCTTTTCTTTACATTTATTATTTTTGTTAGTTATAATTCTGTTCAAATTCTCAGTTCTATAATTGTTTACATTGTATACATATACACAAGTCTCTCTGCGCGTGTGTGTCTTTATGTCCTTCAAAGTGTACTTTTAAAGAATATACAGGTAATCCTCGAGTTACAACAGTTCACTTAGCGACCATTTGAAGTTACAGCATCTCCCCCACCCCTTTGAAGCGAAACATCTTTGAGGAAAAACAAGAAAGTCCAGTTGCCTCGTGAAAAACATCTTTGGGATAACTATGACCTGGATGACTGAGAATCTCCATAGACATTTCTTCAGGCCTTCCATCCATTTGCCATTTCCTTGCCAAAGCCTGCAGGGGTGATACACAGCATCTTTGCAGGCTCCGGTTGTCTTTGCAAAATTTGCCTCCGTTCTTGGCAGTAAAAATCTTGAGCAAAAAGCTTGCAGAAGCCTGCAGGGGCAAGAAATTGTGTCCCTGAAGGCTTCGGCTTGCTTTCCTCAAGGCTTTTGCCACCAAGCATGGAGGCCAGGAGCAGCGTGCACGTCCCTCCCGGCCTCCATTCTTCGCACCAAAGATAACAGGAGCCTGCAGGGACACAGGCAAAGAAACCGTGGCAGAGGCGGGAAAGACATAACTCACTTGATCATCGAGATCTTCAAAAGGTGAGTCTCCACAGGCCCAGTGCCTATGGAGACCCAGTGGGGCAGGATGGGAGGGGAAAGCATGAAATATCTCAGTGGGTTGAGGAAGGCCTTGGGTGGTCAAAAGCACTAGGCCCCCCATGATCTTCCCCACCTTGAGATACCTCTTTCACTTAACGACCTGAGCATTCAATTAGCAAATGCATTGGGTAAATCAGGGAAGGATCACATTCAATTAACATGATCTCATTAACGAATTCCTCAGGTTACTAATGTAATTGGCAGGCTCTATTACATTCGTAAGTTGAGGACTACCTGTACTATCTTCCAGATGCACATCTTCATTTTTTCCAGGCTTTTATATATTTTGAAACCATGATGTTGGTTGGCTGAGTCATTTTGCAGAAGTATATCTTTTGGAGGCATGAGATGGCATAGGATAATTGGTTTGTAACTTACCTCTTATTTGATATGTACTTGTGCTGATGTTAATTCTCAGAAACAGCCCCTGTTTCTTCTATGAAATACAGCTTCATGCTTTTAATTTAGTGGTCACTAAAAGTTGGTGTGGCGTTTCTACATTTTGCATTTTCTTTGAACAGATTCACATCATTTTGAGATAATCGGAGAACTGCATAGGCAAATAATTAAACTTTATATAGATTCTAGAACTCAAATGATACAAAAAGAAAATGCTAAATTATGTAAAATTCTCCTTTGACAAAAAAAATCCAAACATTCAACAAATAAAGCGTAATGGTAATATTCATTTATTTTATAGAAAGGTAAACAAAAGGGGGCTGTATATGGAACCAAATCTCACTAATGAATTCTCCAACCTCACTTTAGATGACAAAAATCCTTTAAAATGTTCTAAATCAATTTAGCTCACCAAAATAATTTTTATTCTCTGATTGGGATAATAGTTTTTTATTCAGCTGAAATGTATAAGCTTTTGACCATTCAGCCACAGTTATATTGAGCAAATCAGGGGGAAAACAAACCATTTTTATATCTACCAAGTATCC